GACCCCCACCACCTCAATTTTGGGACGCAGCTATTAGCATGACACTTATTAGGAATGAAGACTTCTCAGTTCTGGTGCATTTGTGCGTGTGGGGGTCATTATGTTACCTCTATGCGGTATCTAGTTAAAATCTGTCCAGTTGTTTGAGATATTTTGCTAATCACTAGTCAAATTACAAAGAGATGCACAACAGTGACACTTTGTTCTGGAAAAGAGGAATAATTGACATAGTCGTGTCACTTTATCYACATGCTAATGTCGTTATTGCAACATGTTTTAAAATGTAGGTCAGAGGACCCCCCAGGGACTGAAACAGGACTCCTGCAGGATCAGAGCAAATTAAGAAATAGATTAATATCGTGGTGATTTCATTCCACTGGAACGTCTTCAACTCCAGATATTCCATGAGGTTTAGAACTGATTATTGTACATTTGAGATTTTTTCATGTCTTTTAACATGAACTGTTTCAAAACTTCTTTAGAGTAATTAATAATAATTTTACCATGATTTACATTTAGAGCTAATATTCGGCTCGGATGGTAATCCATTTCAACCTCGCCTGCCCACATAATCCACTTTGGCCTTTTCAGCTGAAGGAAACRCTTCCACCAAACCCAATCTAGTGTGACAGGTGTGATGGAGAAGGGCCAATAAAAGCCTGCGCGCCGCGCCGTGTGGAGCCGCCAGCCCTCCAATCGCAGGCCGGATCCCGCTGCGGTTTGATTCCTGGCTGCCACGCTCTCTGCTGYGATCCCCTCTGTGTCTCTGACCCTCAGTGCCCTTCAGCAAGGAAGAGGAAATAGACACGAGGGAGGCCGGACCCTGCAGCTTTTCCTCCCAGGAATGAGAAGCAGCTCCTCTCATATCTTGTGTCATTTGGTAGAAACATGAACTGCTGAACCTCATTTTAACAAACAAATGAACCTCTAGTCCAGTGGTCTTCAAATAAAAGTCCACTTAAAGAGATTTATTTTCTAGCAAAGGTCAAGAATATATACTGTATGTTTAAATTATCTTTTAGTGACAGCTCTGCTAGCTTTTTCTTATTACTCACTGTTTTGTTTTGGGTTTTTTTTTTGGTTTGTTTTTTTTTGGTTTGTTTTTTTTTTCAAACCTGAACGTCTCAGACGTTTTACAGAGAAGTAGGGAGAAATTGCAGGTCCTGACAGAAATGACCGTAAATTTCAGAAAAGCTGTACTGCTTAAACTCAATTACAGTGAAAATTTAAAAACTGTTCTGTCTTAGATGTATTACTATAAATGCAACATAAATGAATTACTGTAAACTGTAGAAAAGTTGCCTTGAGTGGAGGAGTTTAAGTTTATCTGGTTGTCTTGTTCGGTAGTGATGGTTGGACAGAGTGGGAGATGAATCAACGGATCGGAGCCTCGTCTTCTGTAATGAGAGCGTTGTTTTGGTCAGTTGTGGTAAAGAAGAGTTGAGTCTAAAGGCTACATGCYAAAACTCACTTGTGGTCTTGAGGTTTGGATCATGTCCAAAAGACAAGATTTTGGACAARAGTGGTTGAAATGAGCTTCYTTCATRGGATRGTCTGGTTCAGTYWTAGAGATAGAGTGAGGAGCTTGGTGTAGAGCTGCTGCTCCTCTGCACTGAAAGGAGTCAGTTGAGGTGGTTTACCTAATAAAGAAGCCTCCGTTTAGGTGCATCCCACTGGTAGGAGGAAACAAGGAGGACTCAGGATGGATTATGYATCCTCTTTGGTCTGGGAACATTTTGGGGTCCCCCCAGGGCAAGCTGGAAAGTCCTAGATAGCTATAGAGGGACGTCTGGGTTTCTCTCCTGGACCTGTTGCCTCTGCGACCCGACTACGGATAAGCGGTAAGTGATGTAGAAAAGCTGTGCCACTTAAACTCAAAGTAAATGTTTGAAACGCTGCACCACTTTAAACGAACCACCATAAACTGTAGAAAAGCTATGCTGTGTAAAATAAATTACCAGTAAAATTCACAACCAATCTAGTTTCAGAGAAGACTATTTGGGTCTAGATCTGGACTGTGGCCCTCCTTTCGGACCGGTAGTGGAACCTCTGCAGTACCGTG